CCAAGCACAGCCCCTGAGGGCTTGTCCCCAGCTGCTGGTCATCTATTCTGTAGTGAATCCAGGTATCCTGCTTTTCGATGATGCTATGTTCCACCGGGAGCAGAGCATCGATGCGGGGAGGGTTAGGGTGCAAGGAGCATATGAGAAATGAAGAGAATGGAGGTAGGAGAAGAAAGATCCCTGAAGGGAAGGAGCATGGGTAGGAACACGAAGCGATGAGGGAAGGACTAAGAGAAACTGAAAAGGAAAAAAGCCTTTATAAGTAGTGGAATCTAACTGTTGGGAGGAGGGAGAGAATTGATGTTTGTTTAGGCATTTGCCCAGGGGTAATGTTTACTCATGGTTTTTTAGTCAGAATGAAGTTAGTGTGGAAGTAGAAATGAAGTAATATTCCAGGCAAGGAGGTGGGCTTGACGGAGTGTCAGTGCGGGGTGTGTGTACCAAACAAATCATAGCACCACGTACGTAACGCTGGTGCTCCAGACACCTGAACTTGGACGTCTCCCGTTCTGATGGCAGGTTTGTCCCCAATCCGTGCTGTCCCACTTTCTCAATCCTTGTTTTTGAGATGGCTGGTTGGGTAAGGGGTGTTTGCCGTGGCCATGGAAAAAGTGACTCTCATTGGCTCACTTAGGAGTATACTCAGCGTGGTTTGAATGTTATCCTGTTTGTTGGACCTATGCTGTTAGGCTTCTAGCATGTTCGATTATAGATGGGGAAGCTAAACAGAGAGAGAGAGAGAGAAACACATATCCTTAGACCCAAGAGATGCAGCTGCCAGAGCCAGCTGGGCTTTTTCCTGCCACAGGGTCCTTGGGCTTGTTATTCGTTCTGCCTGAAACTTTTTTTCCTATTTTTGTAAGCCTTCCTGTTTCTTATTCTTTATATCTCAGCCCAAATATTAACTCTTCAGGGATATCTTCCCTAACCATCCTATCTCAGCACCACTTCTCAGATACAATTCTTTTTAATGTGTCTGTTGATTAACTTGTTTTTTCTCTTTCTCTCCCTCCAAATCCCTCCACCTCCAAAAAGGTAGGAACCACGTCTCTGGTTCACCCCTGTCTCCCCAGCTCCCAACACAGCGTCTGATTCAGAAACGGGACCCAACTCTCCATCAGATGAATGAATCAATACGTGAACTGCTCTGAATTCGTATCCTGGATCCTTAACAGATAAAAACGTGACACGGTTGCATTGGGATCTTATGGTTTTAGAATTACATTACAAACCGTGGGGAACTGTTTGGTTGTTTAAGAGGGCTCCTGCTTTTCCTTCACAGTGTCCTGAAGGAGGATAGAGGAGGTCGTGATGTCGCACATTGCTTATTGATTTTGATCCTTTGGGGAAGACAGAAGAGCCCCAGTTCCTGGACACACTCTACTTTTTCTCTTATTTTAGTATCTGCACCAACAGTGCATGTCCACAATCCAGTAACATGCAATTTGGTGCAAATAATGGGAATTATTTGAGACAAGATATTACAGTTATCCAAAGGCTGAAGTTTCTGCTGTCAGAGACATGGGCTCTTTAGTGAGAGGAAATGTCGTCACGGTCACCTCCCAGGTAAAGTTGACTATGCCAACCAGCCCTCTTCTTTACAAAGAGTTATATGTTTTTGTTTACTCCTGTGCTTTGTTTTACATACATTCACGTAAGGGAGGAGCACGGCAGCTCCACTACTCAGTTTAATGATCACAGTTGGCTATTTGTGTTTTACTTATTCATATCCTACCTACTTTACAGGAAATGTTGAGATGACTTACATGTTAGTTTTCTATTACTGCGTCACATATCAGCACAAACACAAATAGCATGAATATGTTATGTCACAGTTGCTGTTGGTCAGGAGACTGGACATGGTGTAGCTGGATCTTCTGCTCTGGGCACACAAGGGTGCATTCAGGTATTGGCCTCATTCAGGTAGCTGGCACAGTTCATTGCCTTACGGTGTGTGACTGTGGTCCCCATTTTCTTGCTAGCTGTTGGCCGGGACCATTCTCAGCTCCTAGGGGCTGTTCTTCTTCATAGGTATTCACAACCTAGCTGTCTGCTTTGTGTCTCTGAGGCTGCCAGAGACACTCTCTGCTTGTTAAGGGCTTGTCTGATTAGGTCAGGCCCACCCTGGATAACCTCCCTTTTGATTGACTCAGTTAACTCAATTTGATTAACTAATTGGGGGCCTTAATTACATCTACAACATAGTCATAGGAGGGATATCTCATCATAGCCCCAGGGTCTGCCCTCATGCAAGGGAAGGGGTTATATTGGGCAAGGGTCATTGGGAGTCATCTTATATTTTAAATAGATGCTTAAAACCGTTTGTACTAGATAAAGGAAAAGCGGTGAAAGAGGAGAGAAGGAGGAAGAAGTGTGAAAGTAATCCTGGAGATCAATCACTCAGCAAATGCGCATGATGAGTTTGTATGTGCCAGGCAGTGCTCTGAGTATTGGGCATGCTAAAATGAAAAGACACGGTGGTTACAATTTACCAGAGCTCAAGCCACTTTGGGAACCAGAGCCAGGTCCAACAGTCATTGGGTATCATCCTGTCTGAAAATTAGAAATTCTCCTATCTAGTCATGTGAGGAGGAGAATCATTGTGTCATGGAAACTTCGATGTGGAAGGAAAAGTGCCAGGAAGAATAAAGAACTAATAAGGACCTCCCAGTATATGAGGTTTTTTTTTAAAGGGGGTGGGAGTGGGTGTGGGCTTGGTTCAGCCCCTCACGAAGCTCCCTTACATCCATCCACATGCCCCTTTGCACCCCTAAATCCTTGATGTCGCTGTCAGACTCACTGGCTTATAATCAGCCAGACTAACAAGTATAATCCTCTGAGAGGGTCTGGGGCAGGAGCTGCCTTCTCTTCGTTACTGATTTATGAGAGTATCACCTTTAATCCCCACAAACTCCAAGTGAGGTAGATATTATCTTAGTTCTTTTCCAGGTGTAACTGTGACTCAGAGAAGGTAGATTATTTGTTCAAGGTCACACATCAAACAAGGAGCAGAGCTAGGATTAAAACCCCGGTCTGTCAGAATCCAAAACCCATGCCCTTACCTGTTCTACCCCTTTAGGAAACACCACCTATGTAGGCTGGCACTCTGTGCGGATTTCCTCTTGGAAATAAAATCCTAGATATAAAATAGAAAGAGTAGCAGCCAGGAAAATGCTGGACTCAAAGTTGGGGGACCTTTCTTCTTGTCCTATGAATCCTGCCCCCTCTCTCTCCTTTTAGTTCTGATTTCACATCCTTCCTCAGTATGTTGTGAGGAATTTTTATATGGTCATGGCCGGCCCCGGTACTTCCCATATGATAGTCTCTCTGTGTAATCACATCCAGCTTGAGTGAATTTTACTCAGGATAGTCTTTAGGATTTGGTTGAAAACCTCCATCTCCTTTAGAGCTTAATATCTTCCGACAGGCAGGAAGGATCTGAATGAGAAGACTGGAGGTCTTGGAGAGGGCATGGAAGCCGTAGGGGGCTAATGGGATGTTCTCTGGATGACCAGAGCGGACTCAGTAACTCATGAGTGGCCTAGCGCTTCCCCACCTTGCTGCTCTGCCCGGGTTCAGGCCACCTTCTCACCCGCTTTCAGCAGTCTCCTCACTGACTCAGTCTTACCCCTGCTCTAGCCAGCTCTTCATGCTACAGTCAGGGTGATCATTCTAAATCTGATTCTGCCACTCCCCTCAGTAGAACCTTTTAATGGCTCTTGGTTCTTGAGATAAAGTCCAAATTCTCTAATATGGTTCAAAGTTCCTTTGGGATCTGGTCTCTCCCTACCCCATTGGCCTCTGCTGTGGGCACCTCACTCACTTCCCACCATATCCCTCCCTCCCACCAGACTGAATTTCCTGAGGCCCCTGAACGCCACACTGTTTGAGCCTCTAGACCTTGGCCCTTGTAGTCTCCTCAGCCTAACACTTGCTTCCCCCATTTCTTTCCACCTGGCCAAAGTCTTTTTTTCTGACCTCATATGTCTCAACTTAGGCTTGGCTAGCATTGAAATGCCTTTCCTGATCTTCCCAAGACAATAGCAGGGCCCTTCCAAAGGCTCCCTGTCCCCCACCCCAGAGTTTACTGAGTCAGCAATCTTTGCAATGTAGTGTAATGACCTATTTGTCTTCCCAAATAGACTGTTGCTGCCCTGAGATCACTGACTGTATCTTCTCTTCTTTGTAGTCTCTGCTTTTATTCAGAGCAAGGACTCAATAAGTGTCCCACGAATGAATGAATGAATGAATGAATGTGGCTGTGATAGGGAAACACTGTGACCATACTTTTCAAACATCAGCTCTGTTAAGTGACTATGTACTGGGGAACCTGGAAACACATAAGTGATATTCAGACAATCTGGAAAAAAATCGAGTGCATATAGCAACCTCAGGCATAAAGTTTCACTGAACTGAAAAGAACCCTCTCAAGGAGCTGCTTCTTTATAACAAGAAGGAAACAAAGGAATGTGGGATTAAAGTTGAGAAGGAAGAAAGAGAAGGGATTAGAGAATACCCTTTCTAAATGGGAAGAGATATATTTCCTTCTGCTTTCCTTTTGACCACAGATGGATAGATTGCTCAAGTAACAGAAAAATCAATCCTGTGTTAATCTTAATCTTGAATGGCCTCCTGCAACAGGTGGGCTGTCTCAGCCGGAGCACCTCTGTTTTCTGATGGGTATAGGACTGCTTGTTGAGAGGTACTGAACTGCTCAATGTTAAGAAAGGGCTGGGTTTGTTAGAGGCTGAAGGTGGGAAATGGGGAGACTGAGAGGGTGGGAGGAGGTGGAGCAAATGGGGGAAACTGGAGACTGCCCTCATGGAGGCTGAGCCCTAAAATGGGGTGCATGGTAAAGAACCCCCACCAAGCCCTTGGGACAGGGGCTTGGAAATCCCAACATGCCCAATGGGGGTTTATGAACTTGTGTGCTGTATGATGTGTGGTGAAAGACTACAGGTCCCTTCAACATTTTTAGTAAAATCTATTGTGCTCAATCACACTCTTAGAACAAATGAGTTTATTCTGGGGAACTCAGCAAAGCGGAAAGTGCTGTGTATTGCTGGCACAGGGACAGGACAAAGCCATTCCACAGGAGCATCTGCTTTGCACTTAGCACACCCAGAAAATGTTTTAGAAGATGCCTATTGTTTAAAATGCCCATGTACAAAAATGAGTAGCAATGGGACCAGGTGTTTGCGTGGGAAATCCTTTTCTTATCAAGAAGCTATTGACTATTGCTAAAATGGTTCTCTGGGATTTCAGAATTGGTCACCTGGTCTTGCTATGGGAACAACATCAATGATGAATTATGGCAGGCTCTGTGCTAGACTCTGGCAAGAGAGCGGCCAGCCAGCCAGAACCAGCCTCTGGATGCAGTGTAGACCTAACCACACTGCCAGAGCCTAAACCACTCCCCCAGAATCAGTTGTGTTCTTACTGAACACTGCTGAATCTACGGACTACTGATCAGAGAGGCCCTATCCCTGGAACACATGGAGACTATTCTGAATTATTCTGAATATGTTTATATTTAAATATGTCCCAGATAATAAAATAGAAGGAATGTGTCATCTGATTGAAGAGCAGGATCAAAGAAAGCCTTTCTGAAGTGTTGCCCTAGGCGCTGTGGTTTCAGGCAGGGACTCTCCGCCCAATTCTTTTTACTTGGCTGCCTGGGGCTTCACTTGCTTTGGTAAGACTCTGCCTCCAGGCCCTGCACTGGGAAAGCTCTGCGTAGGGCTTACTTGAGAGATGCTCCTCTTGAGTTGGAAGTTAACCTGGAAGAAAAGAAGAAGAAGCTAGGAGAGTAGAAGAGTCAGTTTTCTACATCCTACAGTTGAACTTGGGGGAAGATCTATTTGGACCCGGTTTCACCCCAGTTCCAGGTTCTGAGGGCAGGAGGCTGAGGGGAATATTACAGCAATGACCCGGAGCAGCACTGGTGGTGTCATATAGGCTTGGCTAATATTCCGGCCCCCACCCCCTCCGACCCCCCCTTACCCCCCGCCAAAGTGGTACATAATCACTATGATACATAGGGTGTGTCTGGATGAATGTAATAATCATTTATATGTGTTAGACAAAAAACTATATCTATACCTCAAACCGTGATTTTGCCAATATGGTTGCCTAGGACAAGAACTATGCTGGATGATGTTGTAATAATCCCTTTTATGCTGACTATGGAATCACAGGGGTCATGCTCAGGCATGCCGGTGAATGCCTCAGACCTTTAGAGCTAAGCTTTCTGCCACGATTGTTTGGAAATATAGATAGGAGAGATAATATAGATCATTAGTATGGATTCTTAAATCCCAAATTTCCATGTGCGTTAATGCATCCTTTCCAGCAATGCATTGGAACTTCCCTTCTGGCCGTGGCATGCAGGTGTAAAGATGTTATTGACTGACAAGTTGGGATATACTAGCCATGCAGAGGCTGTGGAAACATCCCAGGGAGTGAAGGAAGAGGGAGTGGCCCTAACCACACTCCCCTGGGGCCTCCTTGGCTTCCAAGCCCTTGGAACAGTTTGAGCTGCTGAAGCCAGCTGGGAGTTGAAAACCTTGCAACTAAGAGGGCTCTTCACGGGGTTATTTCCTGCCCCTTCCATAAAAATCCACAGCCAGGTTTTCTGCTAGTTCCCAAATTAGAAAATCCTAGCAGGGGAAATCAAAGCCAATCGCACTGTCGTTATTATTTCCTATATAGTAATACGGGGATTTAGGAAAGAAAACAAAACGAGACAGCAAAATGAGGAAAAGAAATGAAAGAAATGTGACATCTGGAAGGCTGTGGGGAGAACACTGGAGTCTGGGGGATATTTGAGTCTTAATTGTAACCCTCTAGTTAATGATCTTTTTTTTCCCTCTTCCCCAGCCAGGTGGATCTCTGTTTTAGAATGCGAAGAGAGACTATTATGATCAATAAATGGATTCTTAGTTGTTACCGTATCTGGGAATTATATCCAAAAGACAGATTTTTACCCTCTGAGTTGTATTTGACACAATGTTGGGTTATATTCATTCATTTAAAGGCTACGTGACAAAGGAGGTGAAGAAGTAGAGCGTGTTACTCAAAAGGGTTTGCAGTTGTTTGCATCTGGCTCTGGACAGACTTCCTTTCATGTAAGCCAGGCATGCAGCTGCCAAACAGCCTTTCATTTTAAGGTAAATGAGGAGCAGAGGTATAACAAGAAAAAAAGGGAAAGAGAATATGTTAGTTGGGAAATTAGGACCAGGTAGCAGGCTGCAGTGGAAGTTAGTTCTTCTTTGCTTCCTGCCTGTGCAAGTCGTCCTTTCTAATATGCAGGAGGTGGTAGAGGAGGGACTGGGGGAAGAGAAAGAGAAACACTAGAAATTTCAGAGGAATTTTCAAAAGATTTAAAGAGCTCTTTATCCTGATCCTGGTGCTTAAAGAAAAGGGCTTCCAAACACAGCTTAGCATGAGGCCCTGTAACATACTGGCTAGCAAGGCAGCCCTGAAAGCCTGGCACATTCAAATTGTGGCTCCCACCACTTACTCACTATAACATTGGACAAGTTTCTGACCTTCTGGAAATTTCAGATCCCTCAGCCACAAATGGGGATACTGACGTCTATCACACAGGGCTCTTGTGAAGGTTACATGAGCTAATTCTGGGAAACTCTCATATAGTATCTGATACATAGAAACTGTTCGATAAATGGTACCTACAACTGTATTTGAAAAAACAAGCTACTTGATGGCACTGAGTTGACAGGAAAACGGGAGGGAGGGTCTGCTAAGCTCTCGGGCTGGACAGAGAAGGAGCTGGACAGAATGAGGAGGCCTAGGGAAGAGCTGATCTTGTGGGAAAGCAGGACTGTAGGTGCTCATTTAATAGAACTGCCTCGTTATTTTTTTCTTGTTTGAGAAATCTGAGATTAGTGTCATTGAGCCTCTTCAGCCCTGAGATCCTAACATAATATGACCAAAGCTCAAAAGGTCCAAGCTGTAGATGAAAAAAAGTTCTTTGCTTTTTGCTTCTCATCCTACCTATAAAAAAATTTTTTAAAAAGGAAGAAAGAAAAGAAAGCCGTGGAGAGTTGAATATTGGAGAGCTGCTGGTTCTTGGCTGAGGTGAGTAGAAGGCAAAGCTGCCTGGACACACGGGGCACCAGAAGGGGGCAGAGTGCCACCTGGTGGCAGTCCTTTCTGATGGCACAGAAGAATACAACCCACAGGAGCCTGTAGAGCTGGGCAAGATCTCTGGGATTTACAAACTCACATTTGTTGGGCACTTCCTATGTGTCAGTCACTGCACTACATGCTTTATGTGCACTTTCTCATTTCAGCCTCTTGTGAAGGAGGTAGTGTCATCACCAACTTACAGAGGTAGAAACTGAAGATGAGAGCAGTTGGGTAATTTGTGCACAGTCTGTGGACAAATGAGCTGGATTTAGAACCAGCCAGTGCTTTTAATCACTATGCTATGTTAAACAGAAGAAAAAGAAAAGTCAAAAGAAGTGGGGAAGGACATAATAGGAAAATGACAATACAAATTAGCAGATGAAAGCAATGATTTTTTTTTTATGATGATAGAAGCTTGGCAAAGATTAGAACAATGCAATTGGTTGTTTGTGACTTTGTATAGGTGATCTTTACAGTGCTCTGTAAAGGTCAGCCTAACTCACCAGTTTGGGTTCCCCAGGACCCACGGTCACACTCACTGTCTCTGGGTCAAACCCAGGTGCTGTGGCAGTGACAATGTAGGTGCCTGGAAGCAACAGCCGGAAGTAATCGCCGTGATCACCTAAAAGTTACAAGGATATAACTCAGTCTACTGATTAGAAATCTGCCCCAAATTGGGCCTTTATATGACAAACAATCTGAGGGTTTTAGCTGACCACAAGCTTGATTTTTCTTAATCGCATCACTGGTTAAGATCTAAAACAATCATACGTGTATGCTGTTGTACATAATAGGAGTATGGGCCTCAGCTCCCAGAAAATAAGAGTTACACTGTGCTGTGCACTGGGAGCATTGTATTTAATGCCAGACTCTGTATTTTAAAACAAACTCATAGCCAGTAAAGGGGCACTAGGAGAAAGGAGGCATATCTATAAATGTTTTGCCTGACAAAGAGACTACCTGAGACCTATGCTTCAATGTTTGAAAGGTCACTGTGAAGAAATGTCTACCTAAAGAAATAAGCATGAAAACTTTGGGTTTAAGTTGCAAGGAGGAAGATTTTGCTAGACAGAAGCAAAAACTATTGTGACACACAGAGCTACCAAAAAAGAAATGGGCTGGGGGCCAGCCGAGTGGTGCGTTGGTTAAGAGCTGGCTTGGGATGCCAGAGGGCCCCGGTTCGGATCCCACATATGAGGGCCAGTGACACTGCCCTCTACAGCTAAGATGCTGAACGGCAGCTCGACCTGGAGCCGGGCTGCTGTGGGTCGCCGGCGACGGCATAGGCTGCAGTCCCCTGCTGCAGTGGGTTGCCATAAGCTACCATGTGTAACCAGCAGCCATCGTGAGCGGCCAGCAGCCACGGTGAGCGGCCAGCAGCCACGGTGAGTGGCCATCCAGAGGCCGGCAACTGATCTGCCTTGCCCAGGAAGAGCGCAATGATGGTGCCAACTTGGGCCAGTGAAGCAACATCCTCCACAACTAGACTGAAAGACTGAAGAACAACACAACAGCAACTTGTCTGTTCCCCTCCCCCAATTCCCCAATAAAATCTTTACCAAAAATAAAAAAAAGAAATGGACTGCTTTATGAAACTGTAGGCATTTAAGCAGAGACTGAATGAGGGGCCCTGGAAAAGCTCTACAGTTGTGCACATAACCTGAGTTAATGGGCCTTGTGGCCCTGGGTTTGACAACAAGCCCCCAGTGGTATTATATGTGTATAATCTTATATTGAGTGGGAGGGCTGGACTAAAAGTATGATTTTGAGAATCCTATTTTTAATAATTCTTCTATCACATTCAAAGGGGAAAATAAAATTCAAAAGAAAGCCTATTTCTCTGTGGCAAGAATATATTGTAGCATTTGGCTAATGACTTTACATCTCTTTAGAATCAATTGTGACCATGCCTTTAAATTTTCTTTTAGGTGTACAGAATGAATAATTGAAATAATGCAATCAAGAATGAAACAGACAATCAATAATGAGAAGTCTCTTTTCTGCCCCTATTAAATGTCTGTAATTTACTTTAAATACTTTCGCAAAAGCAGTATGTTATTATGCATATGCTGGATAATTTAAGTCGTACCCCAGGGCTGTCATTTTCTTAACTGAGGACTCACACTCATGGTAGCTAGTGAATCAGAAAGGTCCAATTCCAGATGCAGCTATCACGAGGGCTTTAGCTATCGTTATCTCTCATCAACACTAGATGCTTTACTAAGTAGTATTATGAACGTTAACAATGAGTTTTTTCAGTGGTGAAATGAGTAATTTATTAATTTAGCATAATGGGTGTTGAAAGTGAGCCCTTACTGGTGAAATTAGTGGTATTCAATATATGTTGATTGGCTAGAATGTTTCAGTCATTCCCCACCCTTGCGTGAATGGGGTAAACAATCTAGCAAGCCCTGAAGCTTTAGGGATGCCTGAGGTTTGATCCCTAAACAGTCCTGGGTCCCACCACTGGGCTGGAGGATTCTGGTGGTCTGATGCTTGACGATGAGGCTAAGAATTCTGCCTTTAGAATGATGCTGTCTTTGCCTTGAATGAGTCTTTCATGTAAGATGTCTTGGGAACATCTTAAAGAACACAAGTTATCTCCTTAAAGTTGAGATGTCATCCAGTTGAAACAGTCTGTCTGAACAGCAAGATGCCTGCTTAGTAATAAACATGTGTGCAGTAGAATGTGGCTGAGCCTTGCTGGAATGGAGGTTGTGGGATACAGGCAGATCTCACCTGCTCCCTAAGCATTGGCAGCTACTGTTCTACTTTAAAAACAAAACAAAACAACTAAAACACCCCTGTGAGTTGTACATGATCGTACTGGGCTGGGGCAGTAACACCATGTGCCATGAGATATTCTGTATCATTCTAGCAGGTTCCATCAATCTTGTCCTCCCAACAAGCCTATAGAATGCATCTTGCTAACTTTTCCTTGAATGGAGGTATCGTGAGATGCCTAGGTCAAAGACAAGACTAAACATCTGTTTTACAGTCCTTGTCTTTTCTACCCATTTCACACCTGTATGTAAGCTATTAATAACTTCAAGTCCAGAAAACCCCCCTAACAATGTGGTATGAAGAAGTGGCTCCTGAATGCTGAGAGAGATGGTACGTTTGCATCTTCCTGGTCTTTGCCTGTTATTTCACTGTCCCATTTCTATTACCCTTCCTTCCTCCAATCCCCCACGCCCAAGGGCTTATAATTTGGCCTCCTGATTATGCTGAAGAAGAGAGTGGAAGCTTCCTTCTCATCCCAGTAGGTAGTGGCCACCTACCTGAAGTGACATCATGGTTAATCCCACTGACAGAAATGACAGCCTCAGGGAGATTATTATTATTCTCATCAAGCACTATTCCCTTGATGCCATGGTGTACCTGTAGGAAAAAATTTACAGTATAACTATGATCATAAAATATTTGTACAGTGTTTTAGAGTCCTCAAAGCTCTGTCTCATATGTTTTTACACTTAATCTTCACAAAGAGTATGTAATAGCCCCTTAACTGGTCTCTGCTCCCTCCTCCATTAATCCCAATAATCTCTTCTCAATAGAGCAGTCAGAATGATCCTGTTAAAATCGAAGTCAAATCATGTCATAAGTCTGCTCAAAACCCAACTCAGAGCAAAAGCTAAAGTTTTTATGATGGCCTATAAAACCACAGCCCCAGTTAGCTCACTGATCTCATCCCCTCCTACCTTCTCCCATACTCTCATGATTGTACCACTCTCCCTAGTGTCCTGGTCTTGTATTTTTTTTAATTAAAAAGTTTTTTTGGGGCCAGCCGAGTGGCACGTTGGTTAAGAACTGGCTTGGGATGCCAGAGGGCCCCGGTTCAGATCCCACATAGGAGGGCCAGTGACGCTGCCCTCCACAGCTAAGATGCTGAACAACAGCTCAACCTGGAGCTGGGCTGCC